TTTTGATATCAACTTTAGAAATCTGTAGTTACCAACAGTATAGCCATAGGCTGGTCTATGAAGGAGATCATGTTAACAAGCGCTTAACATATATGTAGATACTTCCTAGGCTAACCATCAGGGAGGAAAATGCAAGTGGCACTTTATTCCATGTGTGCTACATGATGTTTTCTTGACTGTCCTCTCTAACATCAACAATACCATGTTACTGTGTTATCTCAATTAATACTTACCATTTTGTAACTGCTCCAACAATGTACAGAAAAAAAGTTTCAATATTATGTCACCAGAACCAAAGTTAGGAAAGCATTTGTCCCACATAGTACCATTAATTATTCTTAAGCCTGCTTTTTTCCTTTTCTGGGATGATATTTACTGAAGAACAACTTATTTACATTAAAGATAAAAATAAAATGAGATTATATATGGGCAGCAGCTAATAAGAACTGATTCATAAACACAAGTTTGAGGAAAAGGACTTAATACTCAAAGTTAAGGGCTATTATAACTCTTTTTGTCAATACCTTTATTAATAGTTTAGAAATACTCTATACATATTAGTTCATAATGCTCATCACCACACTCTGAGGTAAAGAAGGCAGATGTTATTGAATGTATTTTCAAACCAGTATACCCAGGTTCAGGTGATGATCATCTATTTGCCCAGGGTAAACAGGCAGCAAATAATAATGCTCTTTTTTTTTTTTTAAATAATGCTCTTTAGAAGAAATTCTCTGAACCAAAATATGGCCAAACAACAATAGACTACCTAATGAAATGCTTGACTAAAACACAAGGTTATTATTAAAATCATACTGAAAATCTCTGAAGGAATAAATTAAGAACAGTGGAAAGAAAGAATGCCCAGTTTGGCTTCCCCTAATATTTCAACTAATGCTTCCAAGGGTACAGTTAAAACTACCATCATAAATCTTCAATTCAGTGAATCTAACTTGTCATAAGTATAGGGAAAATCCATAAATTGTAGAAATAGAAGACACAACCAGCAACCTCAGTCTTTCCTTCACAAGTATAAACACACCAACAAGACCACCAGATACCTGAGGAATACAACACTACCAAAAAAGAACCAGAATAAATAAATTGAAAAAGTTATTCAGAGGAGAGAAAAAACTTAAAGTCTAGTTAGCGTCCTAAGATTAAAGATTCTTCTATCTGTAAGATAAGAGCAGGTGGTTATGAACTACAAAGAATTCCCAGAAATATAAAGTAACAGCTGAAATAACTCAGTAAAGGGCTCAAAGAAAAAGTCAAGGAATCTTCCAGAACAAGGCAGGAAAATGAAGACATGGAAGTGAAAGAAAAATTGTAAAACCAGAGCAATGATATAGATGTTCTAGTGGAATAAAGCTGTAAAAGAATACAGGGAAGAAAGGAAGGGAAGAAATAATGAAAGAAATACAGAAGATTCCCCAGAACTGAGAACATATGAAAAAGGTCCACCAAATCTTTATAGGATAAGTTAAAAAGAACTACATTTCATAATGTCAAGGATAAAAAGGCATGGACAGAACAAGCTTCCAGATAACAGAAACAGGTTACCTAGAAAGAAATTATTCCTATCAGCATTAAGCCTCTTTTTTTAAAAATTTTATTTATTTATTCATGAGAGACAGAGAGAGACAGAGAGAGAGACAGAGAGAGAGAGAGAGAGAGGCAGAGACACAGGCAGAGGGAGAAGCAGGCTCCATGCAGGGAGCCCAACATGGGACTCGATCCTGGGTCTCCAGGATCACGCCCAGGATCACGCCTTGGGCCGAAGGTGGCGCTAAACCGCTGCCCCAGCATTAAGCCTCTTATCAGTGAAACTGGTTCTTAAAAGGTAATGCAAAGAAAACTTTCACAACTGAATTCTATATCCAGCCAAGGTATGTACCGGGTGTAAAAGTGAAAAGCACATTTCTGAATACTCTGTTAATACTCCCACATATTTGGGATCCCTGGGTGGCGCAGCGGTTTGGCGCCTGCCTTTGGCTCAGGGCACGATCCTGGAGACCCGGGATCGAATCCCACGTCGGGCTCCCAGTGCATGGAGCCTGCTTCTCCCTCTGCCTGTGTCTCTGCCTCTCTCTCTCTGTGTGTGTGACTATCATGAATGAAATAAAAATTAAAAAAAAAAAAAATACTCCCACATATTTTCTCTGAGAAAGTACTCCAGGAAATTTTTAAAAATTAAAAAAACTTCTAGAACATTGTAAAATAAATCCAAAACAAATAGTGGAAAGACAGGAGATCTAAGAAAGCACAGACTGTGCCCAAGAATGCAATTAAATAACATGCTATTAGCTGAGCATCTTACCCAGAAAAAAAGTCAGTTTACAATAGAATTTCAACAAATACCATGATAAAAAGCCAGATAAGCAAGTGATAAAATGAAGAAGGTGGACAATGGGGGCAATGTGGCAACTAGAAAATCCAGGAAAAACAGTTACAGCCCAAACTAGAAGCCAAACTAAAGTACATCCTGATCTTGAATACCAACATGGTAGAAGGAGTTCATTTGTTCTCCATGGCTCCCATTGTACCCATCACACTACTTTTTGCTCAGCACTGGATGGTAGTGTTTACTTATCACAAAATTGATTATTGCTTCTCCGAATCAAAGTGTTACTATTACAAACCTTGACAACATAAAATAAATGTCCCCCCTAGTAGGGAACCATGAGGAATTCGGGGAAAAACTGTGAAGGGTACTGATTTTTCTCAACTCATAAAGTGGCAAGTTCAGAGATGATGCCTAAGTATTTTCTAGAATTAAGAGTGTAAGTATTGAAAGTATAACCATAAAGCCTTATCAAACTCCTTCAGGGAAGTAAAAAAAGAATAGGTATTACACATTAAATTCTGCATTTTTCACAATGGTGATACACTCAATTATGTGAGATTACTCTATAAAGTTTAGCATATAATACATAAAATTGAAATAATAATCACCAAAAAATTAAAAATAAAAAAAGGTCTAAAATGGCTATCTTTGAGGAGAGAAACCAGTTTGAAGAGGTAAAAGGTAGAAAAGACTTCTATTTATCATTTTATACCTTTGTGTCCTATTAACCAATGCAGGAAAAAACACAGAGGAACCTTTGTCCATTTTTTTCTTGTTTCTGTATCCCATGCACTATATATACCAACCTTCTCTTACGGGGTATTTCTTCAAGACACAATTAATTAAACAAACTCAAGAACCACCCTAAATCTCTGACAAAATGCAGTGACAGCAATAGTTTACACTGGTGTTAAAACTCAAAACAAGTCCACATCCATTATCCCCATAACGGTCTTATTTTTAGAGATTAATAAAGTATTACCCCAAAAGGTTTAAGTGATTTGCCATGACAAAGAAACTAGGAAAAGTAGTATAAATGTAATAGACAAGCTAAAAAAGAAAGGAAAAAATGCCTTCATACAGTAGTGAAATCTGAAAATCCCTTCTAAATTTAAAATAGAACATACAACAAATAAAACTTAACAATAGTTGGCTGAAACAGTTTTTATCATGAAACACACTTACCATATGAGCAGCAATCTCATTCCTATGTTATTCCCCAAGAAAAAATGAAAATACATCACACCAAAACATGCACTCTCTTGCTCATAGCAGCTTTATTCATAATAGCCAGAAACTAGAAACAACCCAAATAGCCATCAGCTGGTAAACAGGTGAATTGTGGTATGGCCAGACTACGGAATATGCCTCAACAATAAAGGAACAAACTAATGATATACACAACATGGATGAAACCTTGAAGTATTATGCTATGTAAAAGTAACCAAACACAAAGGGCCATATGACTACACTTATAAGAAATATTAGAAAAGGAAGATTCCAGTGGTAGTACATCAGTAGGCTATCAGGGTTGAGGAAAGAAGATACAGGGGAAAGGGCACTTTGGGGGTGATGGACATGTTGAAGTCATAACCAAGGTGCTTGTTACACTACCATATAAACATAGCAAAATTCATCAAAATGTACACTTAAGATTGGTGTATTTTGTTATGGAAATTATAACTCCATAAGGATAATTTTTTAAAACTCAGTCATACATAATCCCATTTAAATACTGACGACAGCTTTTCAAGCATAGGAATTAACTACAGATCCATAAGGGACATTGAAATCGCTATTTAAAAGGCAACTTTTAATCAGAAAATAGACACAGTACACAGGAACTTAAAAGTCCTGAGAATGAAATAGTCCTGGTTCTACTCAATTTGGCCACGTGGATAAACACTAGTTGCCTGGCAACCAGTCTACATCCAGATTTCTTAATAAACACATTGACCACATTAGCAGGTAATCTCAAAGAGGATAAACTAAGCTTTACGTTGAAGAGTTCTTCTTCAGTGTTAAAAAAGAATAATAACACATATGAATTATTTATCTAAAGTAGCAGTGAACAAGAAATACTAAAACTAGATCATGAAAAATAAAAATATGAAATGAAACATAAACACACACACAACACGAAAGCCCTTTCTTCTTTTGGTCTTTCACTTTAGGACTTTCCTTAGCTAACTTACAGGACTGCCAAAGCCATGAGTCTGTGAGTGAACTCTTTCCCCTTTAAGCCTGTAAGCCCCTCCCCTGGTACCACCCAAACTGGCTTAATATAAATGTACATGTCTTTAAATGCATACAAGTCAGACACTTTTTTAGATACTAAATCACCCAAAAGACACCTCTGTGGATGGCTCGAAAACACAAAACACGAACTTTCCACAACATGCAGCACCCAACATACCAGAAGGCCAAGTTTTCGTTAATGCTGATGATAAATGATCAAAATCAAGAATTACAAAGAATCCCTAAATAACAAGCAAATCCTAACACATATGTTAAATATCATTTCTCTCTTACTGGACATAGTATGTCTGTTGACCTGGTGAACAGCTTCAGAACAATAATCAACTCCTAGGACACCGCTAACTGTTAGCACACTTACCAAGCATACAACTTTTTGGCTTTGGTGAGTACTTACCCCTCTTCTGAACCCAGCCTTCTTTCACAACGGTAACATCGCTCATGATGGCTCCCCTCTGAGCCCCCAACTTGGAGAAATGCTACTTTGTGGTATCAGCTTTGGGGTTTGGATTCTCTGCTGCTGCTGCTGCCCTTCCCACTCTCTAGTGATGACTCAGCCTGGAAGGAAGTATTGAAGAAAGAATTTCTTTTTTTTCCATTCTTGCAACTCACATAGCAATAACAAACAACTAATTCTTTGTAAATGTCTTCAACTGGCCTGACCTCACATAAAACTCTACCTCCTCAAACTGGGGAACTTATTTATTCAATAGTTCGTTCTATAATGAAAGCGCTTCCCTGGTCTTGTGACAGATTTCAAGTGATAGTGAAACTTTTAACCTAAGAGGTTGTAACAAAAAAGGTCTTAAAGAAAACCAATGTCACACCTATACAAATAATACAGAAAATCTGTTTGGTGCTATGTGTTTGAGGTGAAAAGGGAAGAAAATGAAAGTTAAGTGAACTAAAAGTACATTATCACGTATGTCTAGTTTCAAAATCTCTGTGGATTTAGGAATATTTATGGCAAAGCAACTGTGAAAGTTTTTAATAGCTGTATTTTATGTATAACACAATGTGCTAAGAAACCAACACTTATGTATACTTACTCTGCCTTACTCCAAGAAATATTTTAGACAATAGATGAATTAGAGTACAACAAATTTTCAGATTACAATAAACATTATAAATGACATAAAATTGATTATTTTTTTAAATACAGGAAATGAAACAAAGGGAATATGAAAATGGAAAAAATATGGAGTCTCCAAGATGTGTCAAGAACAAGTGCTTACATCTATTATCCTCAGGTAATCCTCACGATAAACCTATGAGAGTACCATTAACTTCATTTCAGAGATGAGTAAATTGAGGTTCACAGAGATTAAGCAGCTTGCCTGGGTTCAACACAACTACTGAATGATGGAGCCCAGATCTGAAAAAGGCTCTCTGACTCCAGAGCCTGCAGTCCTAACTCTAAAACTAGACTGCCTTCAGATAAAAAAATAAAAATTAAAAAAAAAAAAAGCCAGAGTAAAAGTCTACATATTTGTAAAAGTGGGGCCACAAATTTAGCAGGAAAGCTTTCAGGAAGCAATGCAAATAAGAAAACACAATGGGTCTCAGTATTTACAGCATCCATAAATATTAAAAAAAAAAAAAAAGTTGCTGCTTCAGAAGGAATCCATTTTTTCTAGAATAAAAATCTAAAATTTATCCCATGGGTCTTTGTAAGATACCTTGTAGTATAACAGACAAAGTCCTCAAAAATGTCCTTATATATACAGTAATGAGTTTTATAGGGCTATTTCTCATTGTCCCTCTCAACCTAAAAAGGAAAAATGCCAAGATAAAACGGAGTTAAAAATATTTCCACAGAAAGGGACCAAAACATGTGGTCCAGGGTACACTGGCATTATGTGGTCCAAAAACACAGGCAAAGAGTTTAGATAACCAGAAGAATGGATGGAGGGACTGTAGAATTATACTGTTTTCTCAGATCGGGTTTTGACAAATAGTTCATAGTGGCAAGTTCAAGGTCAGACTTCTGAGCGACTATTGAAATAAATTATGGCTCATTTTCCAATGCAAATTAAGTAGAAAGCCTAATTCACTTAGCAGTGAGGAATCAGGACTAACACTCTTAAGAAAGCCTGACAAAGTCTGTGTGGCTGAATAGCAAACCAGCCCCATATGTGCCCTTGGCACTTACAGGTAAGGCCAAGACTATCCGCAGAATCACTGGTGTCTGCTAGTGCAGAGAGTCTAAAGGGATATTAAAACCTGGGTCTATTTTCCCAAAATATGTTTGAAAGAATTCCAAGAAAAATTCCAGAATAATACGAGAAAAATGATGAAAAAAGAAAAAAAATTCTTTGGCCAAATAGTTCAGAAAAATTCCACAAACCATATCTTTCTCTTAGAACATCACAATTAACATATTAAAGATATAAGATGTGTATAACCTCATGTAACTCAGCAAATCCTAAGCTTACTGAACCCACAGGGCTCTTTTTTTTTTTTTTTTTTTTTTTAGTTGTATGTACTGATATCTAGGGGAACATGTTTTGAAAAATGGCCACATAATTCAAGACAAGATTTATTACACCATTAAAAAAGAGCAAGAAACCTTCAGTAAAGAATCGAAATATCATTTTAGTTTGATTTAAGTAACTTTCTGAAAACTGGCTACATACAGAACGAGGTAACTAAAAAAGTTAGCTCCTTACACCACATAATTATAAAGACATTAAATATTGGGAGCCCGAGTGCAAACTGATGACTTTAGAAGGCCTCTTTGGTAGCACCTGTAGCAAAGAGCCTCATCTCATTCAAGCCATTCTTGGTTTGACTTATAAAATTACATTATCTGGGTAAAAAAAAAAAATCCTATCTTAATATTCTTGGTATTGGAAATGGAAGAGATCAGGGGCCAACATTTATTAATAACCGAAAAACAATACAAATTCAAGAAACATAGATAAAACATATCCGTTTCTATTAAAATAATCTGCATTACAACACATGTTCTAAAAAAAAAACTTTCAAAATTTATTCCATTGTTTTAAGTTGACATTTCATTGCTGGGATCTCAAAGCAAGTAAGGACCTTCATTTTACAGCTGAGGAAACAAGAGTCCAGATGGATGAAGAGACTTGCCCAAGGTCACACAGCTGCTTTCTGAGGAAACCAAGACCAGACAACCAGGCACATGTTCTTTCCACTAGCACTACCCCTTCACTACAAAACAAAACAGTGAAATATGCAGATCAACCCAAATCAATGAATTTTCTTTTAAAATGGAACTGTTTTGGGGTGCCTGGGTGGTGCAGTCCGTTTAGCATCTGACTCTTGGTTTCTGCTCAGGTCGCCATCTCGGTGTGCACGGAGCTGACTTCAGATTCATTCTCCCCCCCCAACTTCTGCCATTCCCCCCCTCAAATAAATAAGCCTTAAAAAAAAATAAAGAAAATGAAACTTTAAAAAAACTTTTTAGATAAAAATGTTTATCTGGTACTTATATATTTAGATTAGACTGCTAAACGGATGTTAAATCAACAGGACAAAATTTACAATCATCATCAGGACTACTAAAGCCACTCATTATAGAAATGGCTTTATCCACTTGCATCTTAAGATGTTACCAAATTCTACACATAATATCCAGCTTTAAAGTTGCTCCAGGGACTCTCAGCTAAAATGATATTCTTTGAAAATAGCTTAAAAGACATTTAAAAGTATACTTCTCCAGAATTATGACCAATAGGCTAGAAATAAATGCTATCTTGTGTGTATAAACTGACTCTTAAGCAATGCACCATATTCTTTGGTTTAATTTCCCTATAGTGGCAAACCTCTTGCACTAAGTCATCTATGCTCTCCTACTCAGTGTTCCATGTTGCTAAAAACACTAATCTGCAAAATGATGAGCTGGACATGAACTTCACCTCCTCCTACAGTCCCAACTTCCTCAGAAGTATGTTTCTATCCAATGAGCTAATAGGCAAAAATTTGGTTTATTTTTTCTTTTAAGCCTATTGCATTAAATATTTCATTGCTGAATAATCTAATTTTGTCTATTCTTAAAAAAAAAAGTCATACAAAATTCTTGGCAGATTCAATTTAGAATTTAAACAAAGCAGTTACACTAAAGGTACTTTCATTCAAAACTATTTGAGAATTTGATAACAGCATTTGAATATCACTTCACAATTTACAAAACATTTTCACATCTTGTACCTCATTCAATAGCATTACTATTTAGTAAAGCAATTTGACAGTGCCTGGCACAGAAGATATACCCAACAAACACAGAGTAAATGAATGAGTGGTTGAATGAAAGAGCGAAGGTGTAGCTTTACATAACTAATGAAGGACAGACAAGACAAACCAATATTGTAAGTCAACAGAGAGAGCGGTATTAAGCCATCTTGAAGACAAACCTGAACTCAAATGTTACAAAAGCACCTACACAGAAATAACTTAAATTATAATAAACATTCTTCCTTATTCATTAAAGTAGATTTACCATAGACCTGCACTAATTGTGAGGACTAGCACACATTAAAATTATCTTCCTTTTCTCTGCATTTGATACTTTTTGTTGAGATGAGGTCAAGTTTCAAGTCCCAAACAATTAAGCATCAACGATGCTCAAAGTTATCTATTGTGGAAGGAAAAAAGAGAAAGAATGGCGTATTTTCTTAATGATATTTATAAAATTTTTTTAAAGATGTTTGTTTACTTATGGCAACAAACCACTCAGTTCTAAGCACTAAAGTTCTTCAAACATCTTTCTAAAATATCACTCAAGAAACATGTAATGTACATATGTAGTCAGTAAAAAAGTACTGATTGCCTACTCTGTGAGAAGGACCACACTGAGTATTTTACATTATTTGCAAATTTGACTAAAAACAAATCTGTACAGTAGCTACTGCAGCTACAATTCTGAACCTAGGAAACCTGTGACCAACCAAAAATGACATTATTTCTTCGCTGTTACCATAACCAGATAGTGACAAGTAACAAGAATGACTGCCTGCAATCCATGTCTTCTATCAGTTTGGTATGCTTTCTACCAAATAACCCAATATCAACTCTCAGATGTATAATAACGTTTGTGAATCACTTAAAACACTTTTTTTGTATCAAAATATTTTTCAAAAGTCCAGTAAACACAATGTTTTCAAATAAATTAAAAATCAAATATAACCGTGGCATCATAAAGGAAATTATAGCAACAGAAGACTAGAAGGTTGACAAAGTTGAAAGGCACACCAGCAATTTTCTTTTTTACAACCTAGAACAAGATTCACAGGTTGGCAATTTCCTACATGTTAATTCTTAAGTTTAAAGCCACTATACTATCTATAATACAACTTGCTCTAAACTATATCCTTCGCTGTAATTAATGCTATGTAGAGTATACTTGCCCTGCACCACAATTTTTTACATTCTTTAGATATGCCTAGTCCAATTAAATTCGTAAAGGACAACTAATGTGCAAAGACAATAGAATCTTGCTTCTTTGAAACACAAATGACTATCAAGGGTAACCAAAATACAATTCTATGGTATCTCCCAATTTCATGAAATAAGTGAAACTAACATATGCC